GTTTGCTTGTTTGTTTCTCCCTGAAAAGAACAATTTTTAGGCAATGGCCCAACAGTTTATAATTAATGTAAAGATGAAGCTACTTATTGGCCAGGGCATCGAGTACTAAGATGAATGCATGAAGTTTGACTGGCATGAAGTTTGGGTCAGGTCCTTTATTAGTGATATCTTGACTAAGAGATGGAAAGCAGCAATATTCCACTGAGCTCCATCATAAATGATGGCTAGCAGTGCTGCCTGCATAGTCTAGGTACTCCTATCACTCCCACTGCTGTTCATTCAGTTAATCCCAAGTGTCTCCCCAGGCAGCCAAGTGATCTAGGGGAGGGGTGACATCCTCCCACACCATGTCATCCGGCAAAGGATCAAGGATAGAGAGAGCCACCTCCTGCTGCAGATGGAATATACAAGAGAGCCCAGATTTGCACTATCCGACCTTAAGGAATCCTTGGTAGTTGTACTGAGTTTCTGGTGGGCTCTTTTCATGACTTAAAGCTTAATAGGCAGATGGGTATGAAAGGTCAAAGGCTTAGGGTCTGTGAGAGCCTCTATTTTCCAGAGAACCCTGCATGTATTTTCTTTCTTTCTTTCTTTTTTTAAGATTTTATTTTTGAGAGAGAGAGAGAGAGAGAGAATGAGAAAGAAAGGGAGAGCATGGGAAGGGGGAGGGTCAGAGGGAGATGCAGACTCCCCACCAAGCATGGAGCCCGATGCGGGATTTGATCCTGGGACTTCAGGATCATGACCTGAGCCGAAGGCAGTGGCTTAACTAACAGAGCCACCCAGGCACCCCTGTATTTTTTTTTTCTTGTCTTAATAGGATATAGTATAGGGCTGAGAAGGGCAGTTTCTTACATCAGAAGCCCTTGGGCAACTTATGGCTATCCTAAAGGTCCAAAGACTCCAGGATGCATAACAAGAGATTGCCAAAATCTCTTGACTGGAGATGCTGAGGGCACTAACCCTGTTGATTTTAATTTGAAAGTAAAATTCGTAAATAAAGAATATGTTGATATCATAAACCCCAAAGTACTAAAAGATGTTGGAACCATATATCCTAAATGAGTACATCAAATGAGTCTCCTTAGAAGAGGATGTCACCAATGTAATGTCATACCTGTGCTCCTGGAAAAAGGCAAGATGCATTGAGATCTGGTCTACAGATTGTATGTGATGACAAAGCTTAGAAGTACCTGATGGGTAGCCTGGGAAAGTCTCCTTGTTTCTGTGTGAGGTGAGCAAACTGCAGCTGAGAGGCTACTGAAATAGATACTAAACAGAACACATTAGCCATATCTATAAAAGCAAAATATTTACCAGTTGTTTGAACAGAATCAATAATCCTACTAGTTCATATTGGGTATGGGGAGGCCAATGGATGGGACCATGGCATTAATATTTATAGTAATCCCCCAAAAGGTACCCTCTTGATATTTTTGTTATATAAAGTCTTTAGTATATTAATTTTAGTGTATAAATTTTGGATTTCCAATTGGATTATAAAACTTTAATATATGTATATATATATCTAATATATATGTATTAGATACACAAATACATTATTATATGTATATATTACTTAATTACTTTTTACTTTCTCCCCCTGTATCCAAGGGCCTGCATTTTTTGTTTTTAAGTCAGTAAGTATTTCTAGGACCTGCACTGTGTTTTGCTAGAGTGGCTTAGTGTCTAAGATTTAAAGTCCCTGTTTTTTCCCCCTGGGCTTGTGCCTACTGATAATGGGAGTCTTTTTTCCTTTGTTTTCTCCCTGTTTCAGGCTTTTGCCCCTGAAGACCCAGTCTTTACTTTCTTTTTCCTGCTAATAAGAGGAAAAGCAGGGTCTGATGACTAGGCAATCTCTCCCTGGGATGGCCCAGTCCACAGAATATTTAGCCCCTTCCTCACACTCCCTTTAAAAAACAGAATCTTTTAGAAGGGCTTGTATTTCTAGACAGCTAACCTTTTTCTTTTTCTTCTCCTTTTTTTAATCCTTTAGATGTTTGTCTGATAAGCTCCTGGAGGTCCTGAGTGGTGTCCGCTGTGAGCAGCAGCCCCCTTCCTTAGGATGTCCCAATCTATCTTAGAGGAGCTACAATCCACATTTTGGACAGCAGTGGTGGCATCAGCTTTATCTTGCACTTTTTTTGTTGTTGTTGCTTTGTTTTTGTTTTGAGCATGAGACCCTTTGCATGCTGATAAGCAGCAGCTCTTAAGAGAGCTCTTAAGCTCTTCAGGGTTTTCAGTGGAGAGCTAGAAACAGATGCTCCTTTCTCTTCCTCCCCTTTCCAATTAAACACTGTGCCACAGGCCTCCAGACACAGGACCTTATACATCTCAGTGGTTTGGGGAACGAATCATTTGAGACAGTAGCAAGCAGACCCAGCCTTTAATGTTCCAGACACTAGGTACTTTCATCTCTATGACTAAGATGGCCTCACTGCTCGTCAGTGCTCCCCAGTCAGTGGATTCAACTCCCACAGCACTAGGAAAGTAGTTACTTCTCAACCTCTTCAGAGGGACCTTTTCAAAATGTAGCCAATAACCTATATACCCTCATGGGTTCTGTCCTGGACTCTGGGGAGTCTATCAACGTGGGGAAATATGTTGAGTGCCCCCTTTAGATCAGGAAATCAAGGCAACATCCAACAACAACAACAACAAAAACAACACAGCGCAGTAGCCACCAAGCAGCAAGTGTACCAAAATCAGGAGTGCTCTTTCACGCAGTGGCCACTGACTGTTGGATTCAGTTAGTAAGCCTGGTGAAATGTAAGGACATATCATTTCCATTTGATGTCAAACCACCCAGCCTGCTGTGCCATCTGTGTTAGGATTTTCACCTGAGATCTGTTCTCATCAGGTATGGTAAGACATGCAGACACAGAAACGACCTCATGAAGGAAGCAGCTTATATTCACAAATCCCTAAAATCAGAAGACATGGTATATCATGCTATTTAGGGCCACAGGGCAAGGACAAGGGATGGTGAGGAGTCTACCTCTTAAAGGAGGGGCAAAGCATGGCTCAGTAGAGCCTTTACTGGAGTTTTCATGGGAAGGACTGAATAAGGCAGGGTAAGTACACTGAGTAAGTTTAGCAGTGAGTAGTTTGAATAATTTCAGTAGATGCTGGCACATAGGCGTAGCCCTGGAGTGAGTTAGGGCAGGGGGAATATTGCCTTGGTGTATGACGATTGGGGGTATGGACTCTGGATTGGTTGGTTTGTATATCAAAGGCATGCTCCCAGTAGAGTCCTTTGTTATCTCTAGGAATTAGCTAGTCCGGGGTGGGAGCAGTATCACCAAGAAAGATCAAGACTCTGAAGGCTAGGGATTCAAGAATACAGAAAGTAAAAATAAAGACAACACACTTATTTGTATGAAATGACAGAGATTTCTATGAGCTATAACTGAAAAAAAAATTAAGACAGAACTGTATATATTCAATTTTTGCAAAATAAAAATATTTCTCCTTCTATGACTATATAGGTCCATATAAGATTGTAATGTGAAAAAACACATACTTAGTTAATAACGTGGATTGTTGAACACGTGGTTAATACTGTGGATTGTTGGATGGGGAGGGAGGTGCTGATGTGGGAGAAGAGGATTTCCATGTTAGCAACAATAAGCCAAACATCCCGTTATGTAAAATTATGTATGTCATAAAAAGATGCATGGAAGAATGGCCACCAAAATGATAACAGTGGTTACCTTAGGGTGATATGATTCCAGGTGAGCATTACATTCTGTAATTTTTAATGTTGTTTGTATTATTTACAATCAGCATGTATATTTATATAACTAAAAAGAAGCACTATAGTTATTTGCAACTTAGAGGAAGACTTCTTTTTAAATAAAAAAAAAGATTCCAATTTCAATAGCATTCTCAAAGATCATTAAGTATCCTCTCCAAGGGGTGGGGTGGGGAAGTATAATGGTCAAGGCTTAAGAAAATCAATATAAATATATGTTATACATTTGGCCAGAAAGGTCTGATAGGAGACCTCATACACACTTAAAAACTCAATGACTATACACTTGTTATTCAAGCTATAAAAAATAAAAATTCCTAGTCTCCTGCTGATAAGAATCAGAAAGAAAGGGAGGAGGTAAGATTAGTTTCATGATAATCACTTGTGGGTTATTATACAAGAAGAGTAGACAATAAAGTAGAAATTTTGTGACAACATTTCATGTTGAGCCAGATTTCCTGCCAGGGCATTTTCTGCTTTAATGAATGAAACAGGACTTGGTCACATCTTAATTAAGATTCACAGAAAGGGAGTTCAAGCATGAGTACAAGCTACCATCTGACACATTAAAATAAAGAAAACATAGGATTTTCCCCAAGTTAAAAACCTTCTGTGAGGGGCGCCTGAGTGGCTCAGTGTGTTAAGCTTCTGCCTTCAGCTCAGGTCATGATCTCAGGGTCCTGGGATCGAGCCCTGCATCGGGCTCTCTGCTCAGCAGGTAGCCTGCTTCCCCCTCTCTCTGCCTGCCTCTCTGCCTACTTGTGATTTCTCTCGCTCTGTCAAATAAATAAAATCTTAAAAACAAACAAACAAACCTTCTGTGATCCACACTTTTTGGACTGAGTCCAAAAATATTTAATTAAAGCTAGACAATGGTTGGCTAAATGAAATCATTGCAAAAACTGAACACATGAATAAAAAAGATTTAAAAATAGGATGCTGGGTGCCTGGGTGGCTCAGTGGTTAAAGCCTCTGCCTTCGGCTCAGGTCATGGTCCCGGGGTCCTGGGATTGAGCACATGAATAAAAAAGAATTTAAAAATAGGATGCTGGGTGCCTGGGTGGCTCAGTGGTTAAAGCCTCTGCCTTCCGCTCAGGTCATGATCCCAGGGTCCTGGGATCCAGCCCAGCATCAGGCTCTCTGCTCAGCAGGGAGCCTGCCTCCTCCTCTCTCTGCCTGCTTGTGATCTGTCAAATGAATGGGAATCTTTAAAAAAAAAAAAAAAAAAAAAAAAAAAAAGGATGCTAACTTTTCAACTATCATTTTTGATAAGACTGTCCTCAGTAAAAGCATCACTGAAAGTGAAAATGAACAAGGTGATGGTACAGCCAGTAGTAGAAAGTCAGTGCTGATAACCTTTACTTGCTCATCCTGAGACTGCATCTAACAGTTCAAACAATGTGTTCAAGGTCCCACTGGGGGGGTGGGGAGGGGGAGGGAGGGTGTTGTCAGGACCTGTCTCAAAAGAGAAGGTTCAGTATAGAGAGATTACTATAACAACAGGGGGTGTCCCAGGCAACAGCAACTGGGATCAAGGAGACATCTTTGATTAAATAAACTATATAAAAGTCTGCTTCAGGATTTCATACAAATACTACCTTCATTTTATTTATTTATTTATTTTTAAAAGATTTTATTTATTTGAAAGACAGAGATCACAAGTAGGCAGAGAGACAGGCAGAGGGAGAGGAAGGGAAGCAGGCTTCCTGCTGAGCAGAGAGCCTGATGCTGGGCTGGATCCCAGGACCCTGGGATCATGACCTGAGCGGAAGGCAGAGGCTTTAACCCACTGAGCCACCCAGGTGCCCCTAATACCTTCATTTTAAAACACAGGTGAAAAAAAACACCAAATTAAGGGGTACTTTAGCTGTCATCACATAGGAAGAAAACAGTAACAACAAAAAAACAGTTCCATTTTAAAAGTTTCATCAAAAGAGACACAAAGGTACTCAGGATTGACAATCATCCTTCCTCATCACTGCTGCTCCATGCATCTTCAAATGCTGGATTTATCTGTGATTTGGTTGTAGGCTAAAAAAGGGAGAAAAAAGGAAAATTTGATTGTTTTACTTCATAATTTTAGGTTCACAATATAGTTATATGAAATCTATAAAATGAAGAGCAATTACATTATTTCGAAAGTAACAATATAACAGTTAATTCAAGATAAAAGTAATGTAACACCACACATAAAATGTAAGGCAACAGACATCTTAAATAGACAAGCCAGAAATTATCCAAATTACCTATGTTTCCTTTAAAGTAATTACCTCACAAACGCATACATAAATGCATCTATACACACCAACACACACACCCACACACCACACACACAAACACACACTGCAGCTATCGCTTATGGCATTGCTGCAACTTTTTGGAATTATCTGGAGACGGCTGCCCATTAACATCCATGTGGCTAAGACTGAACTCAGGTCTATAGTCTGACCTCACAGCCCAAGGTATTAATGTGCCTACCTGACTTTAAATACACAAATACCCATTTATGGGGAATAAGGTGTTCGTCAAACTGAGAAAAACCATTTTTGGTACAAAAACTAATGTGAGTTGTTATGTAGTGAAGTTTATTTATTTTTTTCATAGCTGGTAAAGCAGTTCCCAAGTACATGAAAAATACGTCAAAAATGGTAACATGTTTGCCATTAGCTCACAGGTTTTCCAGGAAGATTTCTTTGAGAGATAAGATGCACTTGTTATCTTTCCTGTTAAAGTGGTATTCTTACAACCTTAGAGCCCTACCTAATAAAAGTAATCAGCAACTAGAGGAATTTTAATTATGTGTGGCATTTCAGATCCATTCAACTCTCCGAAGAAACTTTTTGGATGGCTACCTTCTCACTCTTTGGCAAATGACTAAAGGGCTTTACGATGGTCTCATTTTTTTGAGTATCTCATCATTCTGAGCCAGGTTTGCTTCTTCTTCTTTTTTTTTTTTTTTAAGATTTTATTTTATTTATTTGACAGAGAGAGAAATCACAAGTAGAGAGGCAGGCAGAGAGAGAAGGGGAAGCAGGCTCACCGCTGAGCAGAGAGCCCGATGTGGGGCTCCATCCCAGGACCCTGGGATCATGACCTGAGCTGAAGGCAGAGGCTTTAACCCACTGAGCCACCCAGGTGCCCCCAGGTTTGCTTCTTATTCTGCAGCTTTTACATCTGCTCCAAGTGTATTCTGACCCCAAATCCAATAATGTATTAGCACCGAGACCACTCATATATTACCTTATATATTGCCTTTTACAACATACAGCAATGTTTTATGTTAAGAGGAACCCCAAACTGTGTCTAAGCACGTTCACTGCCTTTTTGATATGATGATTTAGAATCATAAAATTTAAACAATGATAACAGTAGAGAAAGTGTGAATTTCCAGTGAATTCCCCAGTATCACCCAGCATAGCTAGAAAAGAACACATTAATTTAAATATTCCTTATGGCTATTAAAGCTATAGATCAGAATCTATTATTAAACCTAATGCCCGCTACCAGCACCATTATAAAACTTAATGTTGGCTATCATGACTCAGTTGTACAAACAAAATTCCACTATATCTCACATGTCCAGATAAAAAACTATTACCACAGATGTTCATCAACAGATGAATGGATAAAGAAGATGTGGTATATATATATATATACATCTATATGTATACACACACACACACACACACACACACACACACACACACTGGAATACTATGCAGCCATCAAAAGAAATGAAATCTTGCCATTTGTGATGACATGGACGGAACTAGAGGGTATTATTGCTGAGCGAAATAAGTCAATTAGAGAAAGACAATTATCATATGAGCTCCCTGATATGAGGAAGTTGACAGGCAAAGTGGGGGGGAGTTTGGGGGTTAGAGAAGGAAAAAATGAAACAAGATGGGATTGGGAGGGAGACAAACCATAAGAGACTCTTAATCTCACAAAACAAACTGAGGGTTGCAGGGGGGGAGGGGTGTAGGGAGAAGGTGGCTGGGTTATAGACATTGGGGAAGGTATGTGCTGTGGTTAGTGTTGTAATATGTTAATAAAAAATTAAAAATTAAAAAAAACTATTGCTAAACCTCAACTAATTATTCACTTATTTCTAGCAGCAGTCCACTGATTTGCAATGGATGACTGTACTGCACTTGTCTATTTTTTCATCCAAATGTTCACTGTACAGAATTGCTGCTGAATCACTATATTATACACCTGAAACTCACCTAACATTGCTAACTATACTGGAATTAAAATTTAAGAAAAAAAGATGTATTGTTCTTGGGGGTTAGGAGATTTCTCTCCCCTACTCTATCTTTAGAGGCCTTTAACTCTGCCTTAGATATCTCCCCAAAATGTTTCTGAATGTCAATAAGCCACACAAAGGTCATGCCTCGGGGCGCCTGGGTGGCTCAGTGGGTTAAGCACTTCCTTCGGCTCAGGTCATGATCTCAAGGTCCTGGGATCAAGCCCCGCATCGGGCTCTCTGCTCAGCGGGGAGCCTGCTTCTCCCTCTCTCTCTGCCTGCCTCTCTGCCTACTTGTGATCTCTGTCTGTCAAATGAATAAATAAAATCTTTAAAAACAAAAACAAAAACAAAAACAAAACAAAGGTCATGCCTCCTACTTCACTATGGAAGCCCAATATGTAATCCATTAAACATTTAAATTTCGGGGCGCCTGGGTGGCTCAGTGGGTTAAAGCCTCTGCCTTCGGCTCAGGTCATGATCCCAGGGTCCTGGGATCGAGCCCCCGCATCGGGCTCTCTGCTCTGCAGGGAGCCTGCTTCCTCCTCCCCGTCTGCCTGCCTCTCTGCCTACTTGTGATTTGTCTCTCTCTCTCTCTCTCTCTGTGTCAAATAAATAATAAATAAAATCTTTAAAAAAAAAAAAACATTTAAATTTCATTTGAAGACTCAAGAGAGAAGCAAAATTATATTTTATTGTAAATTATTGTTGCTATGGTGAGCAAGGAAACCAGAATAATTATATGAAAAGTGAAATGAAATATTGATAAATTTTGAAAAATACTACACTAATACTAATACACAAATACCGTAAATTTTACTGTTTATAGTAATAAAGAATAACAATATAAATGCATTATAGTATGATTAAAGTTTTATTTTATTGCTAAAAAATCACAAATAAAACACACTTGTAATTAAAAGCTACTGTAAGAATGTTGTATATGGATGTGGTACCCATATTACCATTTGAGACCTACAGATGAAGTCTAACTACCAACTAGCACTTAGGTTTTCTCTGTAACATCTCCTCCTAGTGGACATCGTTTCTGAGCTTGAACCTCACCAGGTTGCCTGTTCTCCTGAGAAACACTTGTAAATGTTAGGAGACAGAGAAGCTGTAATTTACAAGGAATCTAGTCCAGGTCCAAATAACTTCAGTCTAGAAGGAAGAACAAAACCAACCCTTACATCTACATATACTTCTTGATATATTCTAAATTCCTTACTGTCAATTACTGGGAAGTCTGTACTGTCAATTACTGGGAAGCCTACGGGAGCAAAATAGGGCTGTCTGTGTCAGCAAATGATTATAGCTGACCCTGAACAATAGGGCTTTGCACTACATGGATCACTTATACGCAGATTTTTTTTTTTATAAATACAGTATAGTATTGTAAATGTATTTTCTCTTCCTTATGGTTTTCTTAGTAACATTTTCTTTTCTCTAGCTTACTTTATTGTAAAAATACAGTATATAATACATATACAGAATATATGTTAATTGACTATGTTGTGGGTAAGGCCTCCTGTCAATAGTAGGCTCTTAGTGATTAAGTTATGGAGGAGTCTCAAGTTACATATGGATTTTTAATTGCATGGGGATGGGTGCCAGCATCCTTGTAGTTTAAGGGTCAACTGCAAATATCTACCAAGTGGTAAATAAAACAGCTATGTATTGTGTGACTGTCAAAGTAAGATTCTTGGTGAGAGGTCAGATTTGAACCATAATGTAGCTGCCCTATAGATCTCAGGAAGGAAAAAGTGATTAGGCGTTATATAGGCTTGTTTTGATCATGACCAAGTTTTAGGAAAAGAGGGAAAAAGGAAGCCAGAGTCCTCAGAATATAATAAAACAGCCTGCCAATTAAATACATAGATTTATGCTTAAAGACCATAAAACCTGTCCCTATCACCCAATGCCTTTCAATTTCTTACAGTACGACTAAATTTCCCCACTATCTTGGATATCAGAAGAAATACTGCTAAAGAATTATATCTTGGTTGATGGGGAAGTAAATCTTATCTCAAGGGTAGATTTGAAAGGAACTGAAGAACAATTTTGCTTGATGATTCTGATATTTGGAGATACCATAAACTTGTCCTCAATCCACAATGGATGGCAGAACAGGGATTCAAACCCAGTTGCCAATATGATTATTATTTAGTTTACCTGAAACTGAAGACTAAGTGAGTGTGTGTGCATGTATGTGCATGTTTTGTTTTGAAGTTGTTCCTGCACAGTTCTGGGAAACTGCAGCATCATTTATTTGAGAGCTGAGATAAAAACACTTCTTTTTTATTTTTTTAAAGATTTTATTTATTTACTTGAGAGAGAGAGAGAGAGCGAGAAAGAGCATGAGCAGGGCAGAGGGAGAGTGAGAAGCAGACTCCCTGCTGAGCAGGGAACCTGACACGGGGCTTGGTCCCAGGAATCTGGGATCATGACCTGAGCTGAAGGCTTAACTGACTAAGCCACCCAGTGCCCCTAAAAACACTTTTAAATATGAGTTAAATAGTAAATATACATGTAAGGAGTAGGGTCTGGTGCAGACTTCTCTCAGATCTAAACCATCATCTTATTCACGTTCTACCTATATTCAAAGGAATCTTTCAAACTAAAGTTTTATGAAAATAATTTTATTCCATACCATTTTATAAGAATGATGGCTATCTTAAGGCGTATAAACAGTATATTTTAAAAGATAAGGTTTTATAGCTCTAAAACTTAAATATAGGGGCGCCTGTGTGGCTCAGTGGGTTAAAGCCTCTGCCTTCGACTCAGGTCATGATCCCAGGGTCCTGGGATCGAGCCCTGAATCAGGCTCTCTGCTCAGTGGGGAGCCTGCTTCCCTTCCTCTCTCTCTGCCTGTCCCTCTGCCTATTTGTAATCTCTATCTGTCAAATAAATAAATAAAATCTTAAAAAAAAAACCCCTTTAAATATAAAGCTAATTTGTTTTTTACGCATCTCTATTTGCTTTCCTACTTGTTCGGTTTAGTTTCCCATATGCAAAAATTCTTCTAGATAAGAAGTTCAAACTATCACTATAACTACATTGTATAAATAAAACGTCAGAGTCACAGACTCTTTATAATTTAAGCAATTTCGTTTTCTTCTAATATCCTTTTTTCCATATTTAAGTCATAGATTTACTTTTAATTTATTTTTATTATTTTCATTTGGTTATTTTTGATTGTTATACTTCCTAACATAGCCTCAAGTGGTCTTTTTTGTTCTTTGGGTTTTTTAATAGTGTTTTACCTTGGGTTTATTGCATATAGTAATTCCTAAACCGCAGGACGCAGTGATTAAATAATGCAAAATAAATAGCTGAGCCAAAGTATTTGGCCATACTAAGTTTTTACAGAAGAATATCCAGTCATTCAAACCATAAGAGACTCTTAATCTCAGGAAACAAACTGAGGGTTGCTGGGTGGTAGGAGGCAGACGTATAGGGTGGCTGGGTAATAGACATTGGGGAGGGTATGTGCTATGGTGAGTGCTGTGAATTGTATAAGACTGATGATTTACAGACCTGTACCCCTGGGGCAAATAATACATTATATGTTAATAAAAAAAGAATATTTAGTCATTTAAAGCAGCTGTACACCAAAACTAATCAAAGCCATAATAAACTAAGTTAGATATGTGATGAAATCTGAAAATACTCAAACAGCAGTTGGCCAGATGCATTGTGTGTTTTCTCTCTTTTTATTTGGATTAGGGCCAAAAAAAATAAGTCACAGGCTTTAAACTACAGTAAACCACAGCAGTTGCAAATCTAGGTATAAAACATTTTGTCAAAAGCTGCTAAATGTTATCAACCACCCCCATAAAAACTCATTTCCATGTGGCTTTAGTAATTTTTTCACAAAGGAACTAAATATGCGAAAAATGATTTTAGAATTTTAAACTTGCTCTACCAATACTTTTCATCTCCATTTAAGATGCTTTGTTTTTATATGAAGACTTGAGTAAGATTAACTCAAGGTGTTTCTAACTCAAGGTGCACTATTTGTATTTCCTACTTTAAAAAATTATATACATAAATATTGGTTTTTAGATATTTGACTTCTTATATCCTAGATATTAAGACAAATACAGATGATTAACAGTGCTTAGTAAAATAATCTTTGGTGGGAAAGATAGCACCTTTACTTTTTTTTAAGATTTTATTTATTTATTTGTCAGAGAGAGAGAGAGGGAGTGAGCGAGCAAGCACAAGAAGGGGAAGCAGCAGGCAGAGGAGAGGGAGAAGCAGGCTACCTGCTGAACAAGAAGCCTGATGCGGGACTCAATCCCAGGACCCTGGAATCATGACCTGAGCTGAAGGCAGCCACTTAACCAACTGAGCCACCCAGGTGTCCCAAAATAGCACCTTTAGACAGTGTAACACAGAAGCCACTACTTAAGACCAGGGGGCATGTCTTATTCATTTTTGTTTACCACTTTTTTAAGGGTCTTTATTCCCATTGCCATCGATCATATCTGTATCAATTTATGTGTAAGATAGACACTAATGGGGGCACCTGGGTGGCTCAGTGGGTTAAGCCGCTGCCTTCGGCTCAGGTCATGATCCAGAGTCCTGGGATCAAGTCCCACATCGGGATCCTTGCTCAGCAGGGACTGTGCTTCTCCCTCTCCCTCTGCCTCTCCCCACCTGCTCATGCTCTCTTTCTCTCTCTCTCAAACAATAAAATCTTAAAAAAAAAAAAAAAAAGATAGACACTAACAGACTAGTTGATAGAGGACTATATATTGGTAAAATTCAAGTGTGTGAATAAAAAAACCTTAAAAATGTCATATGTGGTAACTCAAGAGATAAAATCTACTTCTAGGAATCTATCCAAATAAGCAATCAGAAATATAAACAATTTATAAATGGATAGTTACTTTGATTTGTTTATCGTGATCAAAAGAAATGTCTCCAAATACATAAATATTTAAGTAAATTGTGATATATAAATGACAGCGTGCTGTTATTTTAAAAACAAATTTACAGGAGCACCTGGGTGGCTCAGTGGGTTAAGCCTCTGTCTTCAGCTCAGGTCATGATCTCAGGGTCCTGGGATTGAGCCCTGAACCGGGCTTTCTCCTCAGTGGAGGGGTTGCTTCCCCCTCTCTCTCTGCCTGCCTCTCTGCCTACTTGTAATCTCTCTCTCTGTCAAATAAATAAATAAAATCTTAAAAAGAAAAACAAAATAAAACCAAAAAACACAAATTTACCAATAGTTATTAATGATAAGGAAGAAGGTTTATTATTAAGTTAGTAAAGTAGGATGCCAAGTTGTGTATCTAAGCAGATTAACTATGTTTAAGCAACCATATATGAATAGGAAAAAGCAAGAATGAAGCAAAGGAAAAGCGTTAACAGTAATTCAACTTTAGACATTTGAGTTGTTCTTTCAATATTTTTCTGGGTTTTCCAAAAGTGTTATAACAGGCAAACCATTTTCACAATGTGAAAACAGCCAGACATGCTTTAAAAGTCTCTCTCATGGGGTGCCTGGATGGCTCAGATGGTTAACCATCTGGCTTCAGCTCAGGTCATGATCTCCAGGTCCTGGGATCAAGCCCTGCATCAGGCTCCCTACTCAGTGGGGAGTCTGCTCCTCCCTCTCCCTCTGTACCACCCCCCAGCCCACCCCGCTTGTGCTTGCTCTCTCTCTCTCAAATGAATAAATAAAATCTTTAAAAAAAAGTCTTTCTCGGGGAGCCTGAGTGGCTCACTGTGTTAAGCCTCTGTCTTCAGCTCAGGTCATGATCTCGGGGTCCTGGGATCAAGCCCCATATTGGGCTCTCTGCTCGGCGGGGAGCCTGCTTCTCCCTCTCTCTCTGCCTGCCTCTCTGTCAACTTGTGAAATCTTTCTGTCAAATAAATAAATAAAATCTTAAAAAAAAAAAAGTCTTTCTCATGTGAAGTAAATTAACAAAACTATTTTCTTGATGATTTAAAAGTCACTGTAAATTTGTGTAAATAATATTTACCTCATCATCATCAGGAACTGGTTCATATAAGGATGGTACCCAAGCAAGTATATTGCAGTCTCTGCTACCGCTATAAAGTTCCTATAACACAGAAAATAAAGATGTGGTTGTGGGTCAGTTTAAAGCTGGTGCCAATCTGAAATGAATAGATCATTTAAAAGACTAACTCTTAGGTTAGATCAATTAGATTAATTCTACTTCTACTCCTCAAAGAAACTGAATTGATGTCTTTTGTTTTCTTAAGATGCAGTAAAGCTTTGTTTCATATTTTAAAATACTGTTAGGATATGTCAGAGCTTGGTAACCTGGAAATTTTACAGAAAGATTCAATAACCTAGGTTTTTTTTTTTTTAATTAATCATGGTATCCATTTATTTCAAGTGTCAGAGTAGAAAAAGAAAAAAAAGATTGAATCAAAAGTCTGGTCTTCTCTGTCAATAACTGAGTTTTAAGAAAGACATCAGTAAAAAAACCTTATGAGTTCTAGATAAAATAGGCCAGAACTTCACAAAAAATATTATTTAGCTCACAGCTGTCCAACTGGCTGTTATTCAACAGAAGAGCTTTTAGATCCATATGCTATGCTTAGTGAGAAGTTTATTTAATAAGGGCAAGCTTGGGCTGATGCACAGTCTATGTTAACATCTTTATGAATATGCTGTTTATACACAACTGAACAATGTTCATTTCTGTCCCCAACAAAACTTTAGGAATATGTTATATTGTCTGTACTAAAAACATTTCTATGAAGCAGTGAGACACACTCATATAAAAAGGGCATAAATTGATATGATCTATGCAGAATAGAATCTCAATACATGTCAAAAGTTTTTGTATGCATTTCTAAGGAGTCATGCCAAAGACGTATGAAATTCAAGGATATCGGCAGTATATTTAAAATAACAAAATATGGAAATAATTGTCCAAAACTAGGGTAATGATTTATATATAAATTTATGTTGCATTCATAGTATGGGATGTCATATAATCATTAAATTTGTTTTTTAAGAGTGTTTAATGACACTGGAAAATACTCAATGTCAAGAGAAAAGCGAAGGATATGAGCCACAGAGTCATCTTGTGAAGGAAAAAAGCAAGATGTAGAACATAAGGTCAATTAAAAAGAAGAGAAAAGGCTATGTAAAGGGAAATGTCTAAAAAGAAAAAAAAAACAGAAAAATGATAAGTAAAACTATGAACGACTAAGTGGTTTTTTTCCCCACACAAATTTATCTCTTATTTCTACACAAACATTTTATTTTTCAACATGTTCAACATGAGGCTTGAACTCACAACTCTGAGATCAAGACCTGAGCTGAGATGAAGAGTCAGATGCTTAATCAACTGAGCCACGCAGGTGCCCACAAACATTTCTAATAGTGAAGTTTTTTCCTGCTCTGTATGCAATTACTTATTTTCAATATTGTTCATCTTAAAAAGTTTGAAGTATGGTACAATTTGTATTTTTCTAAAAAAAATTAAAGGTTCTAGATAAAGGGAAATTAAGATTATAAAGTTATTCATAGAAATATAGATGTGGAACACCTCGGTGTTAAAGTTAAGTGGCTGCCTTCGGCTCAGGTCATGATCCTGGGGTCCTGGGATGGAGTCCTGCATCAGGCTCCTTGCTCAGCAAGGAGCTTGCTTTTCCCTCTGCCTGCCGCTCCCCTTGCTTATGACCCCTCTCTCTCTCTCTGACAAATAAATAAATAAAAGCTTTAAAAAAAAAAAAACAACAAATAAAAGGAAACATAGATGTAAAAATATAAAGTAAATTTGATTTAGTTATACATTATCAAACTTCCTAAGGGAACAACATTCTAGACTGTATTGTTTAACCTTGAATATATAGTTACACTAACTGTGAATGATGCAAAGGTATTTTCAAATGTTCAGCACCCTTGAGCAATTTAATTTCCTGAGAATAAAAACACACATACACACATATGCACACACACATCTCCAAGATAACTTGGTCAGATAAGCTTACAAGGCAATTTGTGGTTAAATATTGACACACTGATAGAGACAAAGGAAATTCTGCAAATGTTTTAAGAAAGAGACAGGACTTAAATTAGAATGACTAATAAGGACTTCAGGTAAATGGAAGGATTTCAATTGAGTGTTAAGGTTTTTGGGAAAAGTTTAGGTCTTCATTTGGGAAATTAGATTAAAAAAAAAAAAATCAACAGGGGCACCTGGGTGGCTCAGTGGGTTAAAGCCTCGGCCTTCGGCTCAGGTCATGATCCCAGGGTCCTGGGATCACCCCGCATCGCACTGGGCTCTCTGCTCAGCAGGGAGCCCGCTTCCTCCTCTCTCTGTGCCTGCCTCTCTGCCTACTTGTGATCTCTGTCAAATAAATAAATTTTAAAAAATCTTAAAAAAAAAATCAACATAAGAGACTAAGCTGACAACATGAATCCTGTCACTCTTCAATGGCTGAGTGTGTATTTCCTTTGAACAAGGACACTCTCATAAATTACAGTGCATCCAACAAAATAAAAAAATTCACAATGATATATTATTGCCAGCTAATTCTTAGACTCCATTCAGGTTTCACCAACTGTCTGAATAAATGCCCCTCATAGCAAAAGGGTCCAGATTAAAATCATATGCTGCACTTAGTTGTCATGTCTCCTAACTTTCCTTCAATCTGGAACTGTTCTTCAGTCTGCCCTTGGCCTTCCTGACCTTGACAGTTTAGAAGATACACACTAGTTATTTCGTAGAATGCCCTTCAAATTTTCTTGTTTCCTCACGATTAAATTGAGGTGATACATCTTTGCCAGGACTATCATTGAAGGAATATCATGTAATTGGGATGTTAACTTTGATCATTTGATTAAGGTGATGTATGCCAGGCTTCTTCAAGGTAAACTACACATTTTGCCTTGTAATTTATAATTTTGTAGGGAGGTACTTTGGGACTATGTAAATATCCCACTCCTCATTAGACTTCCAATTTATTAGCTTACGTACTTATACCTGAATGGATTCATGTATCCTTATTTTAGTCAATGTGTTATAAACCAGTACTATCATTATTTATTTCAATGTCAGGTATATCTTGTTAGATTTTTATGGTTATGATAGAACTACTATAACTATCAATTTTGTTTTCAGGTTGTGAATTCTGTGTAGTATTTAATTTGAAAAAGGGTTCTACTGCTGAGTGGATGCAAAGTACTACCCTATTTTGCTTTTGAGACTTAGAATTATTCTCCTTTTCAAAAATCATAATGAATATAATGGGGTAAGAGCTGGAAATTGTGATGTAGTGCAGTGATTCAAGCCTGCATATGTAGCACCTAGAGAAATGGGATGAGTTAGGAGGCCACTAGCCCAGGTTTCTGGCTGTGACCAGCTTATCCCGGCTATTCCAGGGGCTGATGGGACCAGTATCTTGGCACACTTTTGATCTATTCTAGGCACACGTGTTAGGAATTCTGATTTGGTAGAAAGCAGTAATTTATAGTCAGGATATCTGGTTTAAAATCTTGGCTGTGTCTCTTAGTGACTTGGCATAAGAAAAGAGGTACAAGAATTTCTTGAATAGATGACCATGCTCTGTGAATAACTACTTGCAGGTTTGAGGCAATGCATGTCACTTCTCTGATGTTTTAGTCTTCTTCTCTCAGAAGTAATACTAAAAATATTTAATAACTAGTACATCAGGATACTGACCAATCAGCAGACATAACAGCCAAAGAGTATAAGCAGGATCCTGACAGTCCCTCTTAGGTGCTGGGCTGAGGTGTAAACTAGGAGGCCCCAGGAAAGGGGGTGAATCTAGAGGTCTCTTAGGGTGCTTGGTGCAATAGCTATTTAACAAAAAGTAAAATATGTATTTGAATATTTTAATAATGGCTATTGCCATTTAGTGTGCTGGCTGAAGAATAAGCACTGTGTATCTTACTGTAGTTCAGACACAAATTAAGTAATTAGCATTAATGAATAAATGATTAAGAACTTTACCAGGTGATGACACCCTTCCTAGTTCTAATAATCCTTAGTTTTCATCCTATCAGTATTTAACTCTCATGAACCTCACTTTCTTTACCACAAAATACAGAAAATACCAAGTTTTGCTATATTAGAGACTCATTTAAAGGAACACGTGAGGTAATTTGTGCTAATATTCTCTGAAAAAAAAAAATCTGCTGTTGGTAAAATGAAAGGGAAAGATCAACTCAAAAGTAAATGATTAGCCACTGACAGGAAATAAATTAGAAATAAAATCTGAGATAGACTCACATATATAAATCAGTTTTTTTGTAAAACTGTATTTTGAGATTAGACACAGTATTCCATCTTTCCCCCCAAAATTGACTGCAAGACATTATTTTTAATTTGCTAGATATTTTCATCTGGTAAATAAATGGAACCGATATGCAGAAGAAAGAATTCATCTCAGTCAAGTTTCACAGTATTATACTGATTCATGCAAATATCCTATACTATCTAAAACTTTATCCTGTATAATCCTCTATTCAAGAAACCCTAGCTCAAATGTGGATTACAAGTGTAATTTCTCAGACTGCAATCATAATTTACTCTTCTGTATATAACCAGTTTGGCAAGCTAGCTACCTGAACATTTTAAATTCCCTTAAGGATCATTCTTACCTGGAAATTAGAGTGGAATACACAGCAGTCAACACTTTTATAATGTCCCTTAAGCATAGTTATCTGTTCTCCTGAGTAAATTGTATAAACAGCAATAGTGCTACCATATGGTACAAAAACAAATTCTGAACTGCAGCCACAGGAGACAGTGAATTTCAATCCTTTTCTGCTGTCATTATTAACTTTTCCATAGTTTACCTGCAGGATGTAAAATCGTAACATTACTCATTTCTTAAATCTGAATTAAAAAGACAACAAATACTAGAAGAAATATTTACTTAAAATATTATACTATGGAAAGGGCTGCTATTAAATCTGTAGAAAATGATCAAGGTTCTAACAAAGAAACAAGAGCCAATGACATAAATATATGTTTCACATAAATACAAATAGTAAAATACAAATAGTAAAAAAATCCACAAAAGCGAATGCTTACATTTAAGCCAGTCTAGAAATAAAATGCAAATTAAGGCAATCTTAATCACTTTAGACCATTTAGTAAAAAATTTCAAGAAACCTTGAGACAGTGAGTACCATTACAAGTGAGGTAACATGTTGGTGGCACATGTTGGTCAATCCTTCTAAAAGGAAAAATTATTTATTATGCAACAAAATGCAAAGATGTTATTTTTGGGGGGGGGAGGGAATAATTTTCTTTTTATTTTAAAATATTTTTTCTTAAGATTTTATTTATTCATTTGATAGAGACCCTGGGATCACGACTTGAGCCAAAGGCAGATGCTCAACGACTGAGCCACTCAGGCACCCCTAAAACATTTTTAATTGTGGCAAAATACACATGGCATAAAATTTGCCATCTTAACCATATTTGAGTGTACAGTTTAGTGACATTACATTCACACTATTGTGCAAACCTTCATTATCCTCAATTTCCAGAACTCTTTTCATCCTGCAAAACTGAAATTTTGTACCCATTACAAAGAAAGTTATTCTTATTCCTTGACCTAGTAATTACTCCTGGGAATTTATCTTAGGGAAATAATTAAACAGGAAAAAGCTATATACTCAGAGGAATTCAATGCAGCATTACCTAGAATGGCAAAATAACTAATGTTAATATAAATTCCTAATAATGTTACAATATCTCTACAGTTTACATAGTAATTAAAAATAATAATTATGAAAACATGCAGGAAGTAAGGATAAAAACTAGTTATAAAAAAGCACAGAACACAAATACATATATATATCCACACACAACTGCAATTTAGGACAAAAATAAAAATTCTGCACCTGTATGCCAAAGGTGCAAGCCCAATACCAGCATCTCTTCAGCAGTACGAAAAAGAAAATTCCAGGTCTTATCCCAATCCTACTGAACAAGAATCTTCACGTTAATAAGATCCCTAGGTGATCTAAAGGCTCATTAAAGTCTGAGAAGCTTTGGGCAAAATAAATTGATAGTGCTGATAGTGCTGAAATTATCCTGTTGATAATTTAGATTAAGCAGTTCAGAGTAGGTGTAGAACCAGTAGCTAAACATTTACGATTTATCAGCAGGAAGATCACTAAAAATACTCTCAATACTATAGCTAACACTAGAGTTTATTTATTTATTTATTTATTTTTAACGATTTTATTTATTTGACAGAGATCACAAGTAGGCAGAGAGGCAGGCAGAGAGAGAGAGAGGAAGAGAAGCAGGCTCCCTGCTGAGCAGAGAGCCCGATGTGGGGCTCGATCCCAGGACCCTGGGATCATGACCTGAGCCAAAGATGAAGGTCTTAACCCACTCAGCCACTCAGGCGCCCCAACACTAGAGTTTAGACAGTGATTTATTTTTTTGCCTTTTTGTAAAGGTCATTTGGGAGTGTGTGTGTGTGTGTGTGTGTGTTTGTGTGTGTATATAATTAAAAATATATATAAATGGATGCCTGGGTGGCTCAGTGGGTTAAGCTCTCAATTCTTGATTTTGGCTCAGGTCATGATCTCAGTGTTGTGGAGTCAAGCCCTGCATTCAGGCTCTGCATTCAGTAGAGTCCACTTGAGAGTCTCTCTCCCCCTCTCCCACTCCTTGAGTTCTTCTCTCTCTGAAATAAATAAATCTTTAAAAAAAATACACACACACACACACGGGGCACCTGAGTGGCTCAGTTGGTTGAGTGACTGCCTTTGGCTCCAGTCACGATCCCGGAGTCCCGAAATCAAATCCTCTGTCGGGTTCCCAGTTCCTCGGGGAGTCTGCTTCTGCTTCTCCCTCTGACCTTCTCCCCTCTCATGCTCTCTCTCTCAAATAAATAAAGAAAATCTTTAAGAAAGATAGAAATATCTCTATCTATCTATCTATCAACACATACTGAGGCCCAAATGGATATATGCTAATCATCTGTGAATACTACACTTGCCTTATATCCACCCTTCAGGTTAACATGTGACAGAAATGAGCGTATGCATCCAGCTATCCCACTGCAGCAGTGGTAGAATGAAACAGTAAAATATTAAATTCAGTAGATTTGGTTTGCAGAAACCCACTCCACTCCCCACTCACTTTTTCTTTTCTTTTGCCTCTTTCGATAATGACTTAGCCTCTGAATTTCATTATTCTAATTCTTAAATAGAAATAGGATCATTTACCAGAGTTACTATGAAAAATCAGATGAAATAATGTACATGAGGGACCTAGAACATAAAGGTATCCAGTAAGTCCCTAGATGTACTCCCATATATGTTTAAAAGTATAACTTATTTGCATCTTCTGACCCTCTATGTGTAACTGCTTGCAGAATGACAGTGGGGAAGGAGAATGGAGAAAAAACACACAAATAGAAATCCTTTGCTCCCACTAGAAAAATTCTGGGGGCGCCTGGGTGGCTCAGTGGGTTGGGCCGCTGCCTTCGGCTCGGATCATGATCTCCGGATCCTGGGATCGAGCCCCGCATCGGGCTCTCTGCTCAGCGGGGAGCCTGCTTCCTCCTCTCTCTCTGCCTGCCTCTCTGCCTACTTGTGATCTCTGTCAAATAAATAAATAAAATCTTAAAAAAAAAAAAACACATTTAGAAAAATTCTGAACTGCTAGACTGTGATGGCCTTATTCACATTTGTCGGAGGACCTAATGCTGAGTTCTTTCCACTCTACCACATTCTTCCCCAAATATGAACTGGAAAGTATTAAGTCAGGTATGAATATTGAACTAGCTCTCTTATCTTCATCCTTAGGCATTCCCCACCCCATCCTGCAACTTACAGTCCTATTAATCTTTGTAAATCATTGCTGTGATCAAATCACTTGTGGACTCAAAATCATCAGTATCTTTTCAATACCTAAGGAAGGAAATTCTAGTAACAGATTAAAGAAAGGAAGGATCTATCATTCACTAATGTTCACCATGTGTCAAACATACTAGCTGATTGTCCAAGGCTCCCATTTTATGACTATGTATGCTTACCAATGTATAATAAATAGCATGATGTATATTATTATGAAAGTACTGTAGAGGAGAGGCTACTTTGGGCTATAATGTCTTAAAGGGGGTAAATAAAGGCTTTGAAAATATATTTTTTTTAAGATTTCATTTTATTTATCTATTTGACAGACAGAGATCACAAGTAGGCAGAAAGGCAGGCGGGGGGGGGGGGGGAAGCAGGCTCTCGATGTGGGGCTTGATCCCAGGACCCTGGGATCATGACCTGAGCTGAAGGCAGAGGCTTAACCCACTGAGCCACCCAGGTGCCCCAAGGCTTTGAAAATATTTTTATAGTGGAGAAAGATATGGGACTTTGGATGAAGATGATGGCAAATCCAACTCCTTGTCTTATGAATTCCTTTTACTGTTCCAGGAAATTTATATATCTAGTCACCTATAGTGACACAGAGATTCCATCACAAGGTAGCTTATTTTATTGTCAAACAATGATCAGCATAACAATAATAATGACAGGTAATATTACTGAATGCCAATATTTGCTGGAAATATCAATGTGCTTAATGTTTTGCACATGTTATTTCATGTAATACTCAAAACAATATTATGAGACAGTCAGCATTATTACACAAAAACATTTAGAAAGGTTAAATATTTTGATCAAGGTCTTTGGGATAGCAAATGACAGAATCAGAAACTAAATCCGGATTGCCTTAATCAAAAACCACTATGCCGGGGTGCCTGGGTGGCTCAGTGGGTTAAAGCCTCTGCCTTCAGCTCAGGTCATGATCCCAGGGTCCTGGGATGGAGCCCCATATCGGGCTCTCTGCTCTGCGGGGAGCCTGCTTCCTCCTCTCTCTCTCTCTGCCTGCCTCTCTGCCTACTTGTGATCTCTGTCTGTCAAATAAATAAATAAAATCTTTAAAAAAAAAAAAAAACCACTATGCCACACTATTGTAAATTAGTTTTCCTTCATTCCCGAGGTGATGATCACAGTACATTCTACTGCAAGTGAGCACTGGGTACTTGAAGCATCTGAGCTAGACAAGAGGAATTATAGAGAGGTTGTGTCTAAGATGAACCCTGAAAGCAAGAAGCAGCTACAATAGGAAGGAGAACACTATTTCAAAGCAAAGGCAGGAGTCTGTGCCTTGGAATGGAAAGGCAAGAAAGCAAAGTATATATATATTTTTAAGATTTTATTTATCTATTTGACAGACAGAGACCACAAGTAGGCAGAGAGGCAGGCAGAGATAGAGAGAGGGGGAAGCAGGCTCCCTGCCGAGCAGAGAGTCCGATGTGGGGCTTGATCCCAAGACCCTGGGATCATGACCTGAACCGAAGACACAGGCTTAACCCACTGAGCCACCCAGGTGCCTCAAGACCAAAGTATTTTTTAAAAACCTGTTAAGTAGTTCAGTAACAACAGAGTAAAATATGGCAAGTGGCAAGACCTAAAGCTGGTGAGTTAGAAGATACAGCTCATGAAGGTTTTGTGTGCAAAAGGCAAAAGCATCAGATTTTAATAACCTAGAAGTATTGAGGAAATGATTAAAGACTTCTACTGGGAGATAAGTTTGGGAAAAGTTAGAAGAATGTTACAGTAATTAAATAGATCATAAGGAGCTAGAATGAGGCTGTAAGTGGAAGGAAGATATGAAAACAATTAAGAGGGAAGAATTAAGAAGTGTGTAATTGATTGAATACATGGGATAAGGGGCAGGGAACAATAAAGTGTAGACTTCCAATTCTAGACACTGGTCATAGTGAATGGTAATACCAGTAACTGAAATAGGCAATACCAGAAGAGCTATCATGAATTTGTTGTTCTTTTGTTGACCAAAACCTGTCTCCCTGGGCATTTTCCCTGCAACTACTTGTTATGTTCTCCAAGGCAATGGTCTCCAGAGCACTGTTCCCACACCTCAAGAAGCCTGCAACATAATCCATAAGGTGTGAGAAGAAAACATGAAAAGTTATATTTTTAATCTCTTTTTTATTTAAAAAATAAGAAATTCACCTTTAATTAAACACAGGTTCACAACAGTATTTGTATATAACCTATAAATAATTATACAACTTTTTTTTTAAGATTTTATTTATTTATTTGTCAGAGAGAGAGAGAGAGAGAGAGCACACAAGCAGGCGAAGTGGCAGGGAGAGGCAGAGAGAGAAGCAGGCTCCCCGCTGAGCAAGGAGCCCGATGCGGGACTCGATCCCAGGACACTGGGATCATGACCTGAGCCGAAGGCAGCAGCTCAACCCATTGAGCCACCCAGGCGCCCGCTTATACAACTTTTTAACATTTATTTTATTTTTTAAATATTCTAAGTAAAATTTATTGACTTTCTAAGAATCCTTACACATTTAATACTGCTTCTAATTTTTTTTTTTAAAGGATTTTATTTATTTATTTATTTGTCAGAGAAAGAGAGAGAAGAAGAGAGCGAGCACACAAGCAGGCAGCGTGGGGGGCAGAGGTGGAGAGAGAAGCAGGCTCCCCCCGAGCAAGGAGCCCGATATGGGACCTGATTCCAGGACCCCGGGATCATAACCTGAGCCAAAGGCAGTGGCTTAACTGACTGAGCTACCAAGGCATCCCAATATTGCTTCTAATTTATCACAGGAATTGTTTCTCCAAAATGTTAATCACAACTAGAAAGAGTATTTGGGAAATGTGGCAAGGTTGTTTTTATAAATATGTCACATTACAAAACAACAAGCAGCACAAGCTACTGAGGTAGGTCCAGAACCTTTAGTCAGAATGTAGATACTTCAGAGAAGTATCTCTGAAGAAGCAGAATATCTAATTTCAGACAATAAGCTTCAGAAGTTTCCAAAGAAAACAAATATATTTACAACTTTAAGGTTAGGATTAGATAAAGTTTTCTTAACCTATGTCTTTTTTCTTGATATTTATTTTTAAGATTTAGAAGTTTCTACTGAAGAGGAAAAAAGAGATGTAAAGATGAATCCCTCTTAAAAGCAAAAAGAAAGCATAAGAAAACACATAAAGAGAAGCATAAAATGGGAGAACCAGCTACACCCTAGAGTACTAAGTGTCTGCCTTTGGCTCAGGTCATGGTCTCAAGGTCCCTGGATTGAGCCGTGAATCAGGTTCCCTGCCCAGTGGGGAGCCTGCTTCTCCTTCTCCCTCTGCACCACTCCCCTTGCCCCTTGCTCACTCATTCTCCCTCTCTCTCTCACTCCATCTCAAATAAATAAATAAAATAAAATAAACTCACTAGGGTACTATTAATAAGGAAACATCACATAATAAAAAGTTATTTATGGTATACCTATTATTTAATAGGTATTTAATTATTTAACAATTTAATTACTTACCACTCTTCATACTTCCATTTTATCCTTAAAATTACTGTTTAGGTACATAATAACCCTAATTTACAAGATGGAGACACTAAAACTCTGACCGTAGTCCTTTATAATGTCACCTTCAATAAACTGACTAACGTCCCATATTACTAAATGGCAGGACTGGAATCTGTTTCCAATTCTGTCTGACAGGGCCTTGAATATTTGAAGGCAATGTGTTTCCACCGAGTTACTTTTTCTGGGACTAATGTCCCCAGTTCCTTTAAGTGTCCTCTGGAGGTGAGTTTCTGGGCTATTCTAGTCATCTCTGCATGAATGACTACTTAGATCAAGTCAATTTTAAAATGTATTATCCATTCTAAACACACTACTCAAGATATGGACTTACTACTAGCAAAAACCCATGAGGTATGAGCATCACACTCAAGAAGGAGAGAAAAATGGAATAAAATCACCCCAACATGTATATATATAGTCAATACCCTTTATACTTATCACATTCACCTGTGATGTACATGCCAACCTACCTTTCCAAAGTGACCCCACACATCACCACTCAAAGGTCTTTAGTGGCTTTCCATTTCATCTCGAGAAAAAGCCTAAGCCCTTAAAAAGGCCTACAAGCCAATATCCTGTCCTGTTTGTTTCCTTCTGTTCCTCATCTCCTAGTACTCTTCCCCTTGTATCCTCTATTTTAACACAAGAGCCTCTTAGATGTTCCCTGGGTATTCCAAGCACACTCCTGCCTCAGGGTCTTTCTCCTTTCTTCCTTCCTCTGCCTGGAATGTTAGCCTTCCCAGATATCTGATGGCTCACTTCATTTCCTTGGATGGATGGATGGATGTCTTTCCTCCTCTCCCTAGAATGTATGTTCCATGAGGACAGGACTTTTCTGTGTTTTGTCTGCTACCGTATAATACTGTCTGGAAAACAAGATGTGCTCAATAAATACTTATTAAATAAATGAATGAGAAAAGAAAGGTGTGACTTGATTAGAAACATGATACAATTATAATGAATGGAAGATTCTAAATTAAAACTTGCAATGCACAAGTTTCTAGTCTGAGATATAATGAAGAAGCACTTCATAAAGTACATGAGAGATGAGCAAACTCTAGTATGAACAATTTTGACCTTACAGTAAAATTAGAATTTACTAAAAGAAGTGATATTTAGAGTATCTAAAAGAGAATTAGTTAGAAAGGAGGTTAAAGAAAGGAAGATGAAATGGGGCACCTGGCTGGCTTAGTCAGAAGAGCATGCAACTCTTGATCTAGGGGTTGTTGAGTCTTATCCCCATGTGGGGGAAAGATACTTAATTAAGTATTAACTTAATGCTTAAATTAATAAATACACTTTAAAAAAAAGAAAGGAATATGATTAATATCAATACCTACCTTAAAGTATTAAGTAAATGCTATAAGGTATTTGGTATAATGACCACTGTGGTAAGAGTGAAATCTAGAGTCAAATTCTGTTGCTTTTTAAAAAGCTGTTTTAACTCAGGCAAGTTACCTAACCATTTATATCTCATTTCCTCACGTGTAAAACAGGTATTATAAGAGTAACTACCTTTACAGCATTGATTTGATGATTAAATAAGATCCTATATGCTTCAGTACATGTTATATGTTAATTTTTATTAAAACAGTATCTGACACATAAGCACTTTAATAAATATTAGCTATTACTATTACCACCAAATTACAAACTTATTAGCTTATTCTGAAAGTTATTAAACCACAGTTATACCTGGTAAGAACCATAACATAAATTTTTTAAAAGTGTTAGAAATTAAATACCACATAAGAATCTAGCACATTTAAAACACATTTAGTTCAGTATTAAAATACCATATCTTCTGGTACTATAACATTCATCTTAGATTTTGTTTATAAGTCATATAGAGAATAAAATTTGACTATAAGTTTAATTTATATCAGTTCTCAATCTTTTATTCTTCTCCAACATACCTGAGAAATATGGCACATTCACATTATGCACAGTAGAGCAATAATTCTCCACTAAGTGGGGAGAATGTGGTGGGGGCATGGTAGGGTGGACTGTCCTATGTGAGAGTTATTAGTTCACATAATGAAAAAATATAAAAAGAAAACTGGAATACAGAGACCAGAAAAGAGTTAAATCTACAGAAGGACTCCAAGTATATTTCACAGATCCATTTTAAAAATATATATTCAAAAAGTTAGAGAGAGGCACCTGGCTGTCTCAGTCAGTAAAGGATGCAACTCTTGATCACAGGGTTGTGAGTTCAAGCCCCACATCGGGTGTAGATTACTCAAAAAAAAAAAAAAAAAAAAAAAAAAAAAGGAAAGAAAGAAAAAAGAAAAGTTGGAGATATTTAAAATCTCTTACTAGTGTGTTTTCTCCATTGGAACTATTCCAGAGCCTCATTCGATTATCTGTACCAACAGTAAGGAGATGAAGCCCATCACTTGTAAAACATAAGCCATTAACTTTCCCATTATGAGCAGTGTTTGCTGCAATGAAAAATACAATTCAGTTAATCTATTATTATAGTCAGCATACACTTAATGCTTGATGATACAGTTATTTAAACATATTAAAGGACAACTATCTGAATTACTTAAAATATACAAGTTGATTATATTTGGATTATTTGAATATCATAAGCCATATAAATTAGAGCCATAAAAATGGAGAAAAACAGGAAAACTAAAGAGGAAGAAATCTTGCCAAATATAATTTTTCTTCAGAGAGTAAGCTGTACTGTACAACTCAATTAAATGCATGCCTAACATTAAATTTTTTAAACACCTTACAAATTTCTCATATAATATTTCCATTTTTTAAAAAAGATTTTATTTATTTATTTGAGAGAGAGATAGTGAGAAAGAGCATGAGGGGAGAAGGTCAGAGGGAGAAGCAGACACCCCTTGGAGCTGGGAGCCCAATGTGGGACTCGATCCCAGGACTCCAGGATCACGACCTGAGCTGAAGGCAGTTGCTTAACCAACTGAGCCACCCAGGCGCCCCAATATTTCCATTTTTAATCTAAAAGTCATTTCATGGACTATTAAAAATCAGTAATACTAGTATTTACTATTTTTAAAAAAACTTCAATAGGGAAAGAATAAGTGCTCTAGTTTGATTCAAAATTTGTATTACCTTCAAAATGACCAAATTTGAGAAAGCATAATTCTCAAGAGCCTGATTAATTTAATTAAAAAGATTATTAAAACAATCACAAAACTGTATATAGTTCATCCTAAGATTTTTCTGGTCCACAATTAATGCTAAATCAGAATCTTACCCTATACAGAAATTAAATTCTAGGGGCACGTAAGCGGCTCAGTTAAGTGTCTGACTCTTGATTTCATTCAGGTCATGATCTCAGATCCTGGGATAGAGCCCCACATTGGGCTCTGCCCTCTGCTAGAAATCTGCTTAGGATTCTCTCTCCTTCTCCCTCTGCCCAATGCCTGCTATGCATGCAACACACTCTCTCTCAAATAACTAAAAAAAAAAAAAAAAAAGAAATTAAATTCTATTGGAAAAATGAAATTGAGGTACTTTATCACCAGGATAGCAGCTGACATGTGTAATACAAATTGCAAATTCTATTTTCATGCAATGGCCACAAAATGTTACTATTCCTTGTTTACTGTAGCTTTCTAAGTGGCAATGAATTTGTATTAGTTGACCTCACTGGAGGAAAAAAAGTAACAAAATAACTCAGAAATGTTTCTGCATTTGAAAATTTAGAGGTAGATGAAATGCCATACTTCTTCCTATCTTGAAGAAAGACAACCATAATTTAGTTATGTACTTTTAGAAATCAATTTATTGTGAATGGCATTTTTTAAATCATAAAATTTGCAACTTGTCCTATACATTAATTACTTGGTTTCAATTAAAAATTTTCAATATAAAAATACTATCACTGGCATATTTCTATATTAATGTATTCTTCATTACCTGATTCAACAGCCTGTGACTTTTTGCCATTATGCTGATCAAGAGTAATTAAACATCCTGATGCTCTTCTCACATCCCATAATTTTACTCTACTGTCAGCACTAAGAAGAAATAGATGTTACATTGACATATATAGCTAGGACAGTGACTGTACTCTTCACCTACCTTTCCAGTATTATGGCATACAGAAGTCTCAGTGTATTAGTGCAAATATATTTGTACATTTGGGTTGTTTAACTTTTGCCTTTTCATCAAATATTCAAAATCAAAAGTAGCAAAAAGCAGTGGGAAAAAAACAGCCCCCCCCCCAAAAAATAGGTAAACTTTTTTTAGATCAGAAGGACAGAATTCTGCTTATTTTTATTTTGTTTTTAATGGTTCCTCCACCAAAACTAGATAGTTTTAGAGCTTGTCCTTTGGCAAGCTTTTTACTACATCTTTTCTATTGTTTATTATTCAAATGTTTTCTAGACAATCAAGCAGCTAACTAATTTTACTTTAAGAATTCAGGGCACCTGGGTGGCTCAGTGGGTTAAGCCTCCACCTTTGGCTCAGGTCATGATCTCAGGGTCCTGGGATTGAAGCCCACTTCGGGCTCTCTGCTGAGCAGAGAGCCCGCTTCCCCCTGCCTCTCTGCCTACTTGTGATTTCTCTCTCTCTCTGTCAAATAAATAAAATCTTAAAAAAATAAGTTCATTTTGCATGAATTTGGTGTTTTCTTTTCATATGAAAAAACTAAGGTGTATTTATATTTGGTTTCCTATACTCAAATCAATCTTTGCAAGATATACAAGAATTAACTTTAATGTCTCTTAGAATTCTGACACTTATTTTTATCTCAAGTATGTGAAAAGAATAAAGGCAAAAAACCATGATCACCTATCAATTTCAACTACTCCTAAAAAAAATATAAATCACTTTAACTAATGCTATCATGTTCTCAAAAAGGACCTCAACAATATTCTAACAAATTGGGTTTATCCAGATCCCTTTAATTACAAAGAGGAATACAACGCATTTTATAAGCCTATTTCTAAATAAATCTTTTCTCTGTAGGTACAGAGCTTATCTCTTCCTGTAGTCTTGATTCTTTTCACAGATTATCATCAAAGCTAGCCAATTAGAATAGCAAGCAAAAGTCTAGCATTTCCCATTTTCAAAATGGTTTTCTTTCTTTCCAGCTTGGGGAAAAGTCTATAATGGGATGAGTCTGAGGATTTAAGTACTTTCTGAAACAGATAAGATTTGGACTTATCTGATTCCTAACATGATTACTAGGTCCATCTGAGAACTGAAAGCCTCTTAGCTTTCCCATGGTTTGAGGAAAACCAAGTAAGGCATGAATAATATAAATCTGCCCTATCATGCACCCACAACCAGCACCTAGCTTTTCACCTTCACACCTCCTTAGGCAGTCTTTTTACAGCTTTATTCTAGACTTGTTCTATTTCAGAAAGCATAGATCTCAATATCACATTCTATAAACTACTAACAGAAGCTTCTCTGGGGATTAAACTGCTTGGCTCATTATAGGTAGACATTATATATTATTAAATTGAATCAATGAATAAATGTTGAATCAGATTTAAAATAATTCTGTATTAAAGAAAATGAACTGAAATGCTACTGTTTTAAAATTAATACTTATACTCAGGTAGAAAAAAATGACAACATACTTTTTTTTACAGGTAGTACTAGCAGATTTGCATTGCTAGAGATTCTCTTGTTTTCTGTGTTTTAAAAGGTGAGCACCTTCAAGATATGTAGTGACAGGACTTAAAAACTGTAACTCAATTATTTAAAGGACCTAATTAATAACTAAATATGCATCTTAAAAAATAGTGTTTTTGAAATTTTTATCATTAATTATTAACTTCAAAACCAAATAATTTGCATGTTACCTTGCAGTTGCCAAGACATATTCACAACGAGGCGACCAGGAAACTGCCAATATTTCTTGTCTGTGACCTGCAAATATAACTGTATGAAAAGTCTGTAAATGCTTGAAAAATCAAAAGATACAGTGTAATTAAATATGTCTGATTTTGAAGAAAGTGAAGACTAAATACTAAACATAAATTGATATGATCATTATTTTTTCACATTTATAATAATCTATGTTTAAATATTAATACGAAGTCTGTGCGGCATTTCTCACACATGTTATCTCATTATAAATGGCCTGGTTTCGCATTGGAAAGAGCAAATGAATCTTTTTTAATACAGCTGTTAGATTCAAAAGTGAATCCACCATTAAGTAACATAGCTTAAGCTCACTGACTTATATCTACCACAAAAAAATCCACTGCAGCAAACCATACAAGTTAAACATTCTAGAGAATAAAAAATGACTTCTAACTTTTCAGAAAGTTATAATAGAATTTTTTAAAAAAAATTCATGATTGTAGAGAGCATTTGGATAAAATTTTTTTTCTAGAAAGCATATTCATAGGATAATTGACTTCAGCATTTTAATTCACTTTTGCCTAGATGAACTATTCAAAGTAGATATTTTCATCGACCTAACTTATATTACTAGAGATTCATGACAATTTAAAACAAATGTTGTCCATTTCACAAAATTCTCTTGGTATATTATGTGTTTCTCAGGGATGAGTAAAAATGTAAATTTCCAAATTACAAGCCATCTTTCCATTGTTTAGAATCGATGATCTAATACTGATAAGAAAGTAGCAAAAATATTCAAATTAATATATCTTAACCAAAATATTATTTTAATAGCTTTTTCTAAAATATTTGCATTCAGGGAAAAAAAGCACCTAGCAAGAACAATACTAAACAATGCCCATAAGACAAATGTACCAATGTAAGTTTCATAAATAATTTTTTTAAATGTAGAAATAAGATAAGATTTTCAGCTAGACTTCCCATATCATTTGAGTTTACCCTATGGGTATTGTTTATATAAATGTCTCCTCAATAGTTCAGTTTTATAAGAATAATGCACAGAAGGATCTTTATTTCCCTGTTGACTTTTAACAACTAGCACAAAATACATCAGTCATGTCAGTTACAAAGAATACATTGTTAGTAATGTTTCTTTTTATTGAATGGTTTACTCAAAGTAGTTGTTGTTTCAAATAAAAAAAAAATACCCTGTAAAATGTGGGAACAGGATCCAGACTTTAAGTCACAAAGTTGTACTTTGGGCCCTCTAGTACCAACTGTAAAAACAAAAACAAAAATGGTTTAAGATAATTTTCTTATAAATCATCACCAAAAGGAAACAAGAAACTACCATTATGAATCATAATATCTTCTCTGTATCCACACGGAAATATAAAAAAAGTATGCCAAAATATACTTCAAATCATTTTAAATGTTTATAATTAGAAAATGTAATTGCAGTTATACCTTAGCACTAAGAGAGCTGTATTATTACATTATCGTCTAATGTTTAATTTTGAAATAATAGATTCACAGAAAGTTGCAAATATAGGACAGAGAGACCCTGTGTACCCTTCACCCATGTTGTCCCTACAATTGTTAATGTTAGGTAACTATACCACAGTATCACAACCAGGAAATCTGCATTGCTACAATGTATATGCACAATTCTATGCTATTTTATTATATCAAATAACGTTACTTAATGCCTCAGACTTTCCATATTAATGATATACTTCCAGAGACTCTGGAGGCAGTCTGAGTGGACCTTGAGGACATTTTAGTGCCCAGCTCTTCTCTACAGACGATGCAACTGACTAGTGTCTGCAGGTGAAGACATTCATGCAGTGCCAAATAAATAATGGAATCATAGGGACCTGATACCAGATACCGGAAAAACACTTTTTCTTCTTCACACATGAAAATTCTTTTTGTAGGTGCTTTCATAAAAATGGATGTTTAATTTGAATAACACCATAAACAAAGGAAAAGAAAATAATTTCCATTTTTTAAATTGTGTTGAATTGAAAAATTCACCAAATTTTGTTCATGTAAAATCTTTGAAATTTTGATGGTTGGAAATTAACTCCTTAGGGAACAAAAATATACTTTCTTAATCTTTGAATCCTAGCCACTAGCACAGTGCCCCACTTGCACAATACCAATAAAACTGAATGTAAATATAGCATATACTTGAGTTTTTTTTTAATTATGATGTTCATTTGGGTTTAAATATCTATATTAAAACTAACTAGGTATTAAGAGCAAGCAAGTTTCAAAATGTTGAAAAGAAAAAGAGTATGAGTACAAACCTGCTACCAAACAGTGTTTGGTGGCAACTGGAGACATATGATGACTATAAACGGTTTCTTCAAAATTAAATATATCTGCAGTCTGATAATCAAAAGACATTAAAAAAATTTAAGTTCTAATTATAGTCACAAAATCAGTAAAAACATTCTATTTATTTCCACATTGTTACCAATTTTTAAATGACCGTTAGCCATTTACTTGACTTATACATAGGAATGTGATACCCTCAAAAACCTGTTAATTTTAAATCCTATGTTATTGGAGTGCCTGGGTGGCTCAGTTGCTTAAGTGTCTGCTTTTGCCTCAGGTCTTGATCCCAGGGTCCTGGAATCCAGTCCCACACTGGGCTCCCTGCTCAGTGGGGAACCTACTTCTCCCTCTGCCTCTGCCTCTCTCATGAATAAATAAATCTTAAAAAATATAAATCCTATGTTATTTATTGCACTGTGTCCCTTTTATGAGGGAAACAGTTTTTCTCTAATAAATTCGAGAGATGAAGAAAAGACAACCACCTGGTTCACCATCTTCCTCTCTACTCCAGTCTGGGGAACTTCATCATCTACACAGGTGATCTAGTCAGTACTCTGCCTCTCGGTCCCATTCAACCTCAGCTACCATATCCCAGCACTCTCATCACCTATACTCATTCTTTCTTCAAAATCATACATTTCAGGTATGATACATTAGCAATTTCAGTGTATGACCACAATCTTCTACCGTTTTCATTTTAGTTTTTCCCAACTATTTCCAAGACATCCAAATATAACCCCAAACTCCTATCAGTTCCTCCTGTCTTTGCTTTTTTTCCTTCTTCAGCATGGATTCAGAGGTTCAATACTGCACCCACCATATCTCCAACTCCTTTGTCATTAATTCTTTCACTCCGTGGAGACTTTAACTTTGGATGACTCCAAATGTCTACCTTCTCTGTACCTTTATCCACACTGATCTACACCTAAGGTCAGCAAACTTTTTCTATAATGGGTAAGACTAAACATTTTAGGCTTTGAGGACTACTACTCATTTCTGTCATTACCACCTACTTATTTCTGCCACTGTAGGGTCAAAGCAGCCATAGACAAGAAAGAGCTTTTTTTTTTTTTTTTTTTTTTTTCCAGAAAGAGGCCATGGGCCCAGCTGACCTCTACTTTAACCCAAGAGAAGAGATTCTTACAGTAAAACAAATTGGCATCACTATAAAAGATCACTCATCAGTGCTGACTTTCAGTATTGACTGCCAGTCCTATTATATTTCCTACTATTCTCTGCAATATTCACAGCTATTTCAAACTTCCACACTATCCACGGACATCACCACTTGGTCATAACAAGTGATCTGATCTTTGATTACAAAGAGGAATCAGAAAGTCATTCAATGAAAATTCACTGAATATGTCTTATCAACAAACCTATAAACACATTTGCTTCCATTTATCCTTCTTCCTTCTTTGTTCCTGTTATCATGGAAAAACTATCCTTCCTCATATTTAAAGTTAATATCCCTACCTGTGTTCAGATCCCCCTCAGCACTATCTCATGCTACACATCATCTCCTTTATCTCCAGGACACTTATAAACTCTGCATCCAAACCAGCTCATTCCCATCAGCATTAAAAAATGTTCACATTTCTTTCATATTAACAGCAACCCTCTCCCCAAGACAGGAAAAGAAAAACCTTTCATGCTATATCCCTAATTAATCTTCTTTCTTCTTCTTCTTCGAATCCAAACCTGGGCTCTAATTTCTTAGCTCCCGAATTTCTCAACTTACCACAATCTTATTATCTCCACTACTCCCATTCACACTACTCTTCCCATATAACTGATAGCTACCATCACCTAGTCTAGACCTTATCTTACCTGTCAGTAACATTCAACACAGCTGATTACTCCATCTTCCTTAAAACAATCTCTTTCACTGGTTCCATTATATCACACACTCCTGATTTTCCTCTTACTCTTATCTTTTACAGGCTTTGGTTCCTTTTCCTGTCTTATTAATCTTGGTCTTCCCAAAGTTTTGTTCTATGTACTCTTCTCTTCAACTGCCATCTATATGGTGGTGACACAAATCTAAATTTTCTGTGTAGACCACATTCTTAAAAAACAGATATGTATAGCTCACTTCCTGGATTATCTTCATTTGGATTTCTTGTGAATCCTTCAAATTTAACAAATCTAAAATTGAACTCAATACCCCCCTAATCTTTCTCTATCTTAGTGAGTAACAATATACTCTACCCACCTGCCCAACATAGAGAACTTGAGAATAATTCTTGCTCTTTTTAAATAATAGCTTTATTGAGCTATAGTTGAAATACAATTCACTCATTCAAAGTATGCACTTTAATGGTTTTTAGTATATTCAGAGTTGTACAATCATCTCCAAAATCAACTTCAGAACATTTTTATCACACCAAAAAGAAACCCCATTCCCATCAGCAGGCACTCCCCATTTCTTCCTACCCTCTCCCCTAGGAAACTACCAATCTACTTTCTGTCTGTATAAATTAGCCTATTTCTTGATATTTCAGACATGGAATTATACAATCTGTGGTCTTTTGCAATCTTTCATGTAACATAATGTTTTTTCATTTCATTCAGCATGATGTTTTTAAGGTTCATCCACACTAGCATGTAGCAGTACTTCCCTTCTTCCTATTGCTGAATAATATTACATTTGATGGCTACCCATTCGTCAGTTGATGAACATTTTATTTGTTTTGACTCTTTGGTCATTTTGAATAATGCCACTATGAACACTTGTCTACAAGTTTTGTGTGAAGTTATGTTTTCATTTCGCTTTGGGTATATACACAGGAGTGGAATTCCTGGGTCATATGCTAAATATATGTTTACTTTTTCAGAAATTGTTTTCCAAAACAGCTGTACCATTTTACATTCCCACCAGTAATTTATGATTGTTCCAGTTCATCCATATCCTACTCAACATTTGTTACTGTCTTTTTGATTACAGCAATCCTAAAAGGTATGAAATAGTCATCTCACTGTGGGTTTGATTTGCATTTCCCTGAAATTCTTGATTTTTCACTACTTTTGATAGCTTATCAACTTGCAACTCCTGTCAAATGTCTGTAATCCTCTCCTATCTTTTTATTCCATTGCCATTACTCCAGTCAAGCAAGGATCTACTGACTCCTGCCTGGATTACTGCAACCTCCTCCCTGGTCTCTTTGACTCTCCTCTTGCTACCTTCCAGCCAATTGGTATCATATCCAGACTGTTTCACCTAAAACAGCAATTTGATGTTTTCATTTTTGGCCACTGCTTAGACTATTAAAAAGCTTGCTTCTTCTCCTAGGAAAATATTCAACCTACTTAATAAAAATAAAAATAAAAATAAAAATAACAAGGCCCCTCATGATACAGACACTGCTTACCTATTTGGCTTTCTCTCTGGCTACTGTCCTTTGGCACTCTGGCCATTGTGAGTAGCTTTCAGTTTTTAAAATGTCACATTCACTGTTACCCCAAAGAGTTTTCTCATGTTGTTCCAAGGACTGGAACTCTTATCCTCCTTCTGTGGACTCATCATCCTTCATTTCAGCCAAAAGCCAGAGCACCACTTGCTCTACAAAGCCTTCCCTGATTCTCCATAGGTTAGGTGATCCTGCTAAAACACTGTACACTTTCATCATTATAGTCCCTTCTGGCCTTCACTGTTATTTCTTGTTAAATCATTTGTTTTCTTAGTATATGTGCTGCCGAAGCGAGCACAATCATTTGTTTTCTTTACTAAACTGAAGCTCCTTGGCAATGAATCCCCAGCTTTAACATGTAACAGAAATTGAATACATACTGTTGAATATATCCAAGAATCTTACTCATTTCTAGAGAACATGACCTGGATACCGACATCTGTATTTTCTGATTTATATTCCATTATCCAAAATTCTAAGAAAACTCGGAATGAGAAAAAGTTGTTCTTTACCCTAATGTGTAACAGAGAAGTCTCTAGAGAAGATATTCCTTTAGGCCATATCATGTGCTCTAGCTATAAAAACACATTTATGGAAAGCTCAGATGAAGTAAAAGTATGATATATATATAATATGTGCATTAATAGGAAAAATTAGTGACAGGGATAGAGGATATGGAAAAGGACAATATCATGCCCTCTTAATTTTTCTTTGTACCTAGCACATGCACAAAAAATTATTTCTTATCGAATGCTTTCAAAGTTCTTATCAATAAAATGCTCTGCCTATCAGATAGAACTATGAATTCATGAAATACTATTTTTTAAGTAATCACTCCACCCAACGTGGGGCTCAAACTCACAACTCCAAGATTGAAAGTTACATGCTCTACTAACTGAGCCAGCCAGACACCCCCATGAAACACTATTTTTGGTTGGCAAAAACATTTATGTTCTAAAGAAAATTTGAAATCAAAATATTTTTTCTTAGATTTTTAAAAAAGAAGTCAATGTTAATGAAAGAAAATGCAAATGTATGGGTTATTAATCTTTAAACCACATTTTTAACTGAAGTATAAGTAACATACAGAAAAATATACAGATCATAAGGGTACAGCTCAATGAATTTTCATGAAGTGAACTTTCACAAAGTAACCACCACCTGCATTATAACATAGAACATTACATTGTATTACAACACCCCACAAAAGCTCCCTACACCCCCTTTCAACCCTCACCAAGAAAGATAACCACCATACTCCTATCACTTTAGTTTTGCCAATTTTTGAATAGGAATTATATATTAAGTACTCTTTTGTATCTGATTATTTTGTTCTATATTATATAAAATTCATACATTTTATTGATATAGAAGTGAGTGTTCCCTTGTCATTGCTAGATAGTATTTCAATGTAAAATGTGCCAGATATCATTTGACTGGTAATGGATATTTGGATTTTTTCCAGTTTTTGGTTATCATGAATAGTGCTGATATGAACATTCTTATAAACGTCCCTTGGTACACATACGTATGCATTTATATACTCAAAAGTGTAACTTCTAGGTAACAAGAAACCCACAGTTAATACCAAATCTGTTTACCAACTGTAATCTCAACAGCAACAGATACACTTGTTACTTT